TTTTTTTTTTTTTGTAAATCAACTTTATGGAGATGTAATTTACATATAAGCAATGCACCTATTTTGAGTGTACAGTTCCCAGACAGATGCCACCATCAGATGCTACCACCTGAGCAGCTGGCAGGTAGTTCTGGTGCAGTTTTGGCAAGTATATATAATTATGTAGCCCCCACTCAAGATATAGAACATTTCCATTGTATTAAAAGCTCCCTCCAAAGTAACACAAATTATTTTCAAAGTATTCCAAAAGGATGAATAGGAGAGAATTATTTCTAACTCATTCCACAAGATAAGCATTACTCGAATACCAAAACCAGATAAGAATACAGCAACAAAACAAAGCTACAGGCCAATATTCCTGATGATCATGGATACAAAAATTCTCAACAAAATACTAGCAAACATAATCCAGCAATACATTAAAAAGACAACACACCAGAATCAAGTGGGATTTATTCCAGGGATGCAAGCGTGGTTCAACATACACAAATCAATAAATGTAATACACCGCATTGTACAATAGAATAAAGAAAAAAAATCATATGATCATCTCAATAGATGGAGAAAACAGTATTCGATAAAATTTAACATCTCTATGAGAAAAACTTACAACAAACTAGGTATAGAAGAAACATACTTCAAGGCTGAGCATGATGACTCATGCCTATAATCCCAGCACTTTGGGAGGCTGAGGCAGGCAAACCACAAGGTCAGGAGTTTGAGACCAGCCTGACCAACTTGGTGAAACCCTGTCTCTACCAAAAATACAAAAATTTGCCAGCCGTGGTGGCAGGTGCCTGTAATCCCAGCTACTCTGGAGGCTAAGGCAGGAGAATTGCTTGAAACTGGGAGGTGGAGGTTGCAGTGAGCCGAGATTGAGTCACTGCACTCCAGCCTGGGTGACAGAGCGAGACTCCATTTCAAAATAAATAAAGAAACAAACACACTCCAAAACAGTAAAGGCCATATATGACAATCTCATAGCTAACATCATACTGAATTGAAAGCCTTTCCTCTAAGACCTGAAACAAGACAAAGATGCCCACTTTCATCACTTTTATTCAACATAGCACTGGAAGTCTTAGCCAGAATAATTAGGCAGGAGAAAGAAAAAAGGGGAACTCAAACTGGAAAGGAAGAAGTCAAATTTTCCTTGTTTGTAGATGACATGATCTTATATTTAGAAAAGCATAAAGACCCCCCCCACAAAAAAACTGTTAGAATACATGAATTAAGTAAAGTTTCAGGATGCAAAATCAACACACAAAAATCAGCAGCATTTCTATATGCCAACAGCAACAATCTGAAAAAGAATACATCAAGAAAGCAATCTGATTTACAATAGCTAAAAAATAATAATAAAATACCTAGGAATAAGTTTAATCAAAGAAGTGAAAGATCTCTACAATTAATGCTATAAAACACTGATGAAAGAAGTTGAAGAGGACACAAACGCACAATGGAAAGATAGTCCATGTTCATGGATTGGAAGAATTAGTATTGTTAAAATACCCATACTACCGAAAGCAATCTATAGATTAAATGCAGTTCCTATCAAAATGCCAATGACATTCTTCACAGAAATAGAAAAACAACCCCAAAATTTGGATGGAACCACAAAGACCATGAATAGCCAAAGCAATCCTGAACAGAAAGAACAAGCTGGAGGCATCACATGACCTGACTTCAAATTATACCATAAAGCAATAGTAACCAAAACAGCATGGTACTGGCATAAAAACAGACACATCCACTAGTGTAATGGAATAGAGAACCCAGAAATAAATCCATATGTTTACAACCAACTCATTTTTGATAAAGACACCAGGAACATACACTGGGGAAAGGACAATCTCTTTGATAAATAATGCTGGGGGGCAGATGCAGTGGCTCAAACCTGTAATCCCAACACTTTGGGAGGCCAAGGCAGGAGGAATGCCTGAGCCCAGGAGTTTGAGACCAGCTGGGGCAAGGAAGACTCTACAAAATAAAAAAGTTAGCCACATGTGGTGGTACGTGCCCATAGTCCTAACTACAAAATTAAAAAATTAGCTACATGTGATGGTGTGTGCCCATAGTCTCGAACTCCTGGGTTCAAGAAGCCTCCTGAAGTGTTGGAATTACAGGCATGAGCCACTGTACCCAGCCTGTGGATGTCTTTATTGGGTTCAAGAAGACTGTAGTGGGTAATGCAAGTATATTTATGAAAGTAAAGGATAAGTTGGGAGTATCTTGGATTTAATTTTCTCAGTGAAGCAGGAGGACAGGCTATCTGCTGAGGGGTGGGGAAAATGAGGTGGATTTGCAACAGTCCTTCATGAACCTCTCAAAAGACAAATCTGTGGCAGAGTGTACAGTTTTCTGTACCAGGACTCAGAGCTCCAGGTTTAAGACGAGGGCAGGCAGCTGGAGAGCTGGGTTCTGTAGTCAGGGTTTTCCAGGACTTATGAGTAGAGGGAAAAGGGAGCAAGGGTATTGAGGGAGCTGGTGAGAAAGCAGTCATTGGCCACAGGTCTAGCTTGGGTTTTAAAAGACTGAGACTTAGGAATGGAGGGGAAAGGAAAGATAAACTGTGAGGCCACGAAGGGGTTAAAGTGCTGGAACTCAGTGAGGCCAAGCAGTGGTGAAGTGGGAGGAAGAGAGCTAAGCTGGAAGGATTGTGATTTGAGTGGGATGCGGAAGTTTCATTTTTCTTCCACATCAGATGGGTCATGTGCCGAGGTTGTAACAGGGTTTGAGGGAGGCAATCTCACACATGAAAGTGAAAACCCAGTCATCATGCTTATGAACTACGAAAGGATCCAAAGGTTCATTTTTGAGAGGCGGTGAAGCTATGCTAGTAATGGTCTAATCGTGGCCCTGAAAAGTGTAAGTAGAGGAGAAGGCTATTGGAAGTGATTAGTTTGGGGAAGGTTAGGCCATGGGATGGATTGGGTTTGGCAATTTGTCTCAGGATGAGGGTGGGAGTGAATGTGTAAGGTAAATGGGGGAGTCCTCAGCCGCTGTGGGCTAGGGTCAATGAAGCCAGAAGCAGCAGAGGGCAGTGAACCATTCAGTCTAAGTCCGGGGACTTTGACAAAGGTAGAAAAATAATTCTGTAGAACTGGCAGGGGAAGCTGGGAGACTGCTGACCCCAAGTGCCCCCTTCTTGGCTAGAAAATAGAACTCGTGGGAGGAAGAGTAGCTTTCCCTTAAGAGGGCTGCAAGGGAACCAGTGTCCTTGGGGCAAGCCCAGGCTTCAGTTACGGTAAGGAGGAGGAAGTATAGTGAAAGTTCCTGGAAATTGTTGTGGATATAGAAGAATTTGTTTTTAGTGGAACGAGGTTACCAAGAACACAGAAGGAAAAACGACAGGAAGATGGCCAGGAGAAAGGTGATGTCCCCATGAAACTGAAAGTCCCAATGAAAAGACTTCAAGTGCAGAGACTGTTTCATCCGTGTATCACAGTACTAGCCACATAGCAGGTGCTCATTTAATACAGCCGAGTGAATGCCTGAATACAGTCCGTTTCTTGTGGCTTCTTAGTTTGATTCTCTGAGACTTCATTTTTTCCATCTTTTTCCTGGGGAATGCTGCTGCTTTTACCCCCCTAGTTCTGAAATTTATAGCAGTTGCTCTCCGAAGTCCCAATTCTTTCCATCTGAGAGAGTCGGTGCCATATTATTCTATCCTATAACACACTAGGAGGGCCCGCCAAGCCGGGGCTGAAATCTCTCTGGTTACGACTCTGGAGAAACTGATGTTCAGAAAAAACAAAGAGTGAGTTCAACAGACTAGATTAAGGTCTACCATAGAGTATGAAAAAAATAAAGATGCTTCTTCCAATCAAAGTTTGAGGCTACCAGCCTGTACTGTGGTCCCCAAACCAGCCCCAGCGGGGGGTGGCGCGTGGGACTCAGCGGCAGCAGCAGTGCAGGGCGGGCTGTGGACTGTCAGGCTGTGTGCAAGGCAGCCTCCAGCAGGTGGGGCTGTGGAGTCGCAGAAGGCCGGCCGCCTTGAGCAGAACGCAGCGCTGCTGCCACCCTCTGCTTTGAATGGAGTCGTTCTTGCGGTATGTAGAGTCAAGCTCGGGAGATTGCTGCCTTCTCCTATAGAGTCCAGCTTGGGAGATTGACTTTGCTACCTTCTTTCTAGCATTACTCCAGAGCCCTATTGCCTCGGGGTAGGGGGAGGTCTTGATGATGGGGAATGTCAGCTAATGGAGCCTTCACAGGGTTTATGAGTTTTAAGTCCCAGTGTACCCACATTCCAGCTGTGCGCACACAGGCCACGGGCCGGACCTCTGAGAGTGAGTGATAATGGAAATATATGTGAAAGCCTTGGTAGAGTGAAGACTCTAAAAATATAAGGATTTATTATTAATGCTTAATGGGTAGTTAAGAGCAAAAATATGTTCTTTGACCTGTTCTAGAGAAGAGGAACTCTAGGGAAGGTATGGACAGATTTTTCTATTTGCAGAAGGATTGGTCCTTTTGACTATGTATTTTCACTTCTGCAAGGTCATGTAGTGGGATGAGGGGTAAGAATGCCAATTTGCCACACAACATTCTAGGGAGGTTGAAAGCACTCAGAAAGTAGAATCCATAAGAATAATAGTAATAAACTACCATCTATATAACTGCTATGTACTAGGCACCTTATATATGTTATTCAATTTAATCATCGTAACAGCACAATAGTATAGATGTATTTACCTATTGTAACTAGAAATTGGATATCAGCATCTGAGACGTATATAATAGCAGAGGGTTACACAGATAATAAGCACTGATGGCAGGATTTGAACTCAGGCTCTTTTGGCTGTAATGGCTCATGTCTTTCCCACCGTAATGTGTGAACTCCTCCTTTGCTAAATCTCTAAGCCCATTTCCAAGGACCTGTCTTAAGCTGGTTGCTAAGAATCGCTCGAGAAACTTGTTAAAATGCATATTCTTGAACCCCACCCTGGGGGAGCCTCATGAATGACTTAGACTTTTCCTTTTCTTTCTCTCTTTTCATGCCATGTCCCCTTCCATTACTTCAGTTGTTTAATAGTCATAGTAATCAGGATTTCTGGTTTTTGAATGCCTTATACCTTACATCTCTGCTTGAAAACAGTAGTAAATGAAAGCTCGTTTTCTCAAGCTAAGGACCCCTGAGCTTCCCCACCAGAGGCTTATGCAATCAGCAGCAACTTTTGGTTTCAACGACACATTTTTATCTCCTTTATTTTGCTGGGGGTGGGGTGCAGGACCTATGTTTGGACACAGATAGTTCACTGCTAGGGAGACGCTTCTACTTGGGGAGAACTTAGCCCTGGAAGGGAGATAGGAGCAGAAACCAAGTGGATTCCTGGGGTTTTATTCACCTAGATCAATCAACAAGTATTTATGGAGTACTCTGTGCCAGGCACTAGGCCAGGTATTGGTGCTGGAGCAGTGCATACAATAAAGTCCCTGCAGTCATGGAGTTTCAGGTAGGTGGACAGAGAGGGGAGTAGGTATTCATGGAAAGATTCAAATGAAGTGGCAAAGTGAACCGTGAATTTCTGGGGAAAAACATACCCACTAGAGGGAATCTCAAGTGCAAAGAGTCCAAGCAGGAGTCTCCTGGGAGCGTCTGTGAGACAGCAAGAAGGACAGGGTCCAGCAGAAAGGCAGGAGTGGAGTGTGGAAGGAGAATCAAGGTAGGAGGTGGGAGGGGAGAGGCACCCCTGTTTGGATCATGACCTTCTAGCTCACTGGGAGGATTTTGGGTTTTATTACAAGTAAGACAAGGAGCCACTGGAGGATTTTCTGTAGGAAAGAGACGTGATCAAATTTACATTTTAAAAGTATGACACCAGGTGCTGGGTTGAACATAGACTTCAGGGGGCAAGAATTCTACCTGAATACCAAGGCAGCTTTGTCTGTCTGCATCTCTTAATCGGTTATGGCAGATTCTTTTTTTTTTTTTTTAATTGCATTTTAGTTTTGGAGTACATGTGAAGAACATGCAAGATT